TATCAACTTCCTTATCAAACCAATTCCAGTGACATTTATTCACACAGTATAAAGGAAAAGTCCACAGTTCCCTTTTTCTAATTAAAAATGAAGGTTTTATCTTAAACATAATAAATTATATACAACAAAACCAGTTATCAGGTAGGAATTACAGTTTACAACATCTAGTCCATTTGTATTTGGCAAAATTAGAGAAATGCTCTACTATTTATTTTATCCTTGTGAGTCTGAAATTTTAAACCTAATTTGCCTTTTATCATAACTAAGAAAAATTTAATTCTATTATTTAGTCTTTAACTCTGACAAAGACCGCAGAAGGGTAAAATGTTATCTAATAACAACTTTGAGTTCTGAAAAGGCTGATTCTGTAATTACACATTTATTAGAAGTTATGGCCATCATTGGGATGCCTGTACAAATTAAGACTGACAATGTTCCAGCATATGTCTCTAGTAAAATGAAACAGGTTGTTTTGAATATTTTACAACATTAAGCATATTGTAGGTATACCACACAATTCTACAGGATAATCAGTTGTAGAAAGATCTAATCACACTCTAAAAGATATGGTTAATAAACAGAAAGGAGTAATAAAGACCCCCCCCCAGAGACAGATTGCACAATGCTTTATTAATTTTAAATTTTTAATACTAATGAGAAAGGAATCACAGCAGTAGAGAGACATTGGCTAATAGAAAAGACTGCTGAATTCAATCAGCTTGTACACCTTAAAGATATGTTGACCTCTGAATAGAAACCAGCATATTTGTTACATTAGGAACGACGTTTTGCTTTTGTTTCCACAGTAGAAGAAAAGATATGAATAGCTACCATCAAAATTGGTAAAGCTCAGATTCCAACAGGAGAGACCTCTTGATTGGAAGAGGCAATAATTCATCAAACAGTATGGCCATTAAATCTAAACTAACTTAAAAGACTAACAAATGCCTTTCATTTGATCGGGTATAACCTGCCAAAAAGGAAACTACCCACAGTTAGGGTTGGGGAAAGGTTTTGTTTTTGTTTATCCAAGAGAATGAAGGCATCCAGCTAAGGAATCTGAAGACAACTGGACAAACAAGACATCTGAAGAAAAAAAGACGAATCATCCAGAGAAAATGTACCAAGAAAAAGAGTAAATTGGCCTAATGGTATAGCACATTTCCAACAGGATAAAAATTTTATAAATCTTCCCAAATATTTGTTTCTGCCATTCTCCACAGACATATAAGGCAAATGGTCTTTTTTAGTCCCAGTCTTGTAAGTTAGTTTATAACCTTGGGTGACTGTCCAGGCAGTCAGTTGTTTCTGTCATTTCTTAGTTTTGGAAGGTGTTTGCTCTGCACTTCCCATTTACTCAGGTAATATTATATTTTTCTCAGGTCTCTGATGGAGTTGAAGACAAGATAGTTACAGTTTTTCTTGTTGCCAAATTCAGAAAAGAAACTCACAAGAGAAGTGCAAAGAGTATAAGGTTGAGCAGCATAAAAAGATAGTTTGGGACTGGTGATACAAGTTAGGATAGAAAGTAAGCTAGGTACAACACCTTGGACTCACCAAGATAAGGTAGATAATGTGGTATTTTCTCTGAATTTGCCAAATGCAAATGGACTGCACATTGTTAGTGTAACTCTTACCTGTATATATTTGTACATAATTATTGCTCTTATTGTATATTGTTTTTACCATATTAGAGCTAAAATCTTCCCTTTTTATTTATAAAAAGAAAGAAATGATGTATGATGCTGTTTTGCATTCTGACAATAGAGTTTGTTTTGAATCAGAGGTAGAGCTAGATATTAGCTGCCCAAAATTAACCATAGAACTTTTAGAGAATTGAGGAAGTAGTAAGGCAGGGCCTAGAGATGATCTCAGCCCTTTTGGAGGAAGGAACAGAAGAAGTAGAAAGTCATTGGTGGCTGCTCTGCTACTTCTCTAATCTTTCAGGTTCTTACCCCAATATCTGACACCCAGTTTTTTCTTGATAAAGAATAATTAGATAAATACTTCACATTTGAGTGCCTCTTTAATAGGTCAAAGTACTAAAAACCAACAGAACTCAATACAGCCTCAAAATTCATCCTACTATAGTATTCCAGACAGCACTATAAATAAATAACCTAAGGTACAGGGTGACTTACCATAACAGAATCAGTGATAAATAAGAAGATTCACTTCTTGAAATTTATTTCCTATTTCCTAATCCAGCTCTGACTGTGATGGTTTTCGGACCAACAATACATAGAAACTCAAAATTTATGAACACCTTTGTATTGTAAGAGTATTAATAAAGGCTCACTAAGGGAAAAAAAAACTTCTGGTCAAGAGAACAGAATCTCCGGTGATATAACATCCCAGCTGGCTCAAGTGAGTCACCTCTCCAAGGTCCAACTCCTAGGAAGGCAGGCTTCTCTCAAGCCAATCTAAGGAGGCAGGTGGAGCATGCTCTCCTTTAATGTGGTACTGTATCTTTTCTACGCTGGATTCTTCCCATCGCACAATGCCCTACAGAGGACATTCATGCTGCTTTCTGTGTCCGCCACCTTCCTGAAATACACAGAAAACTGTAACTTTTCCCCTCCCTTTTACCTGTTCCCTAAGCACACCTTATGGCTGCCTGACTCCTTGCCACGCAGCTGCTTGTCTACCATGGGTCTGACCTCCACGCTGGTTCAACAAACATGATTTTCTTTTCTCTCTTTCCCCTTCTGTTTCTCTGGGGATAGTTACAGCTTGACTGCCCTGAGGGTTTTTCTTTTAAACTCTAATAAAATTGACTTCAAGATTCCACTTGAGTTCATTCTTAAATTCTTTTAGCGGTAAGACTAAAACCCCTAAGAGGGGAAAAGGCTTCCTCTGGAAAGATAACTCAGACAACTAAAAGCACACCACCCAGAATCTTTTAAAGCACAGATACTCACCCTTCATTCGCTCAAGAAATACTGAAGAAATTGACACGAGTTTCAAATCAAGAAAAACACACCAAGTTGTCAAGACACCCTTTAGCCAACATAGTTTTAGGTATACAATAATATAGATATAGATAGGTAGATATAAGTATCTTAAGGACCCTTGTCTGAGCAAACTTTGGGCATCCGATCGGAAGCCAGGCTAAGAATATTGAATGTGCTCTAATGGGTTTCTGATCCCCACATTTGCAAGACTTCTCTCCTCATGAATGTCAAGTAGAATATGCCAAACAATAAAAACAAGTTCAGGTACAGAAAGCATTTTCATTTTCCATAGAAAACAGCTTCTGCCTTTTCCCATGCTGAGTCTGCAAGGCAGCTTATTTACAAATATATAAATAGCTGCAACTTTACTCCAGGCCCATTGAAAAATTAAAACGGCACCATGCAAGAGAAGCATCCTAGCATAGTTGGCTCAATGAGTAAAATGTAAGTGGAGATGAGCCAAGCGACTTGACACTCGCTAGTCAGCTTAACCAGACACCCTCCAGTTTCCTGTCATGGAGGAACCCAGGGTTCTGCTCTGCAGAGTGAGATAATTCACTTTCATTGATTGTCCAGAGACTGGGGAGTGATTTAGAGCCAAAGGTGGAAAAGCAAACTTCAATTCGTTTGTAATCCTGTGGGCTCAAAGGGAGATCACGTAATACTGGCAGTACTTTTAAAATCAGCTTATTCTGCTTTCATGAAAGTCCAGTGAATTTAGAATGACTCACTCTAGTCAATTCTTTTCCCATATTGCCAGACTTACGGGGATTTAAATCAACAGGAGAAAAGAAGTAAGAAAAATAATGCATCTTAATGTTTGAACAGAATGTATTGCCTTTCCTAAATTTATTAAGAAACATTAACTACCAAGAATTAATCCCTCTCCCTCCCTTTCTCCCTCCCTAGATACACACACACACACACACACACACACACACACACACTAGCATGTATCTTGATTGTCCTTACAGCATATGCATAACCAAGCATGGAAGTGCGGGGCTGTCCTCAGTGTCTCCTCATGAGGTCACCTGAGTAGCTATACCTTATGGCACCTAATGACAATCACTCCTTATATATACTTCCAATATCAAATTATGCTCTTCCTTAACATCTTTGTTTCTCATCAATGAATGAACAGAAGAATGCCATTAAATTAAAGTCTTCCAAAGCATCACAAAACAGGAAGTTTAAAAGGAACATTTTGCCAGGAGGTGGTGGTACAAGCCTTTAATCCGAGCACTCAGAAGGCAGAGGCAGGCGGATCTCTGTGAGTTCAAGGCCAGCCTGGTCTACAAGAGCTAGTTCTAGGATAGGCTCCAAAACTACAATGAAACCCTGTCTCTAAAAACTAAAAGGAAAAGAAAAGAAAAGAAGCATTTCCAGAGGAGAAAACGAGTTATGAACTTAGTCTGTGTGGAGAATATGAGAACAGACAACAAGATGCATAGATGCGTGTCGAACGTGAGAGCACTCATGCGTGCTGCATTCACTCCCACACAAAGACATCTGCGCTGAATGTTAACACCAGGGTGGCCGTGCTGCTTGTTCACAACAGTGCATTGACACACAAGGATGTTCAAGTTTGAGTCAACATATAAATGCCAAAAAACTAAACTGCAAAACAGTTTCTCATCACTTCAAGCGCTATTCAGTATTTAGAGGAAGCGCCCACAAATAAACTGTTATTTTAATTCCCCACATAACATAGTATATAGGAATAAATGCAGTAGCCATCCTTTGTCTCTAGACCTATATTGAGCCTATGTTTCAAAGTTCACTTTTTAAATTACTTTTAAATTTATGTCTACTTTAAATGCTAACAAGATTACTCCAAAAGTGTATGTAATTTTCTGAAGACTTTCTGAGGGCATGCAAAAGATTTGATTGCAGAGTTTTAACAATAACAAATAAATACATTGTACATTTGTGACAGCATTGAGGGGCACAACTGAGCTTTTATATTTTTGAGCAAAAATTTGGAATATCCTTAGAAAATATTTTTGTACTATGGTTGAAATGAAAACAAATTAGTTTACTCACCCAGTGTCTCTGAGAAGAAGGGCACTTCCTAATTTGAAACAGGTTTTATCACCTTCGCAAAATGCGCGCCTCAGAGCAAAACTCTCTCCGAGATCAAAGCCTGTAAAACGTCACACGCTATTAAACCCAGCAATAAGCTCACAGACAGATTGATTTTTTTTTAAAACAGGAACTTGTTATCATATATACAGGTTGATTGATTTAAAATAAAATCCTCCTGTTTGAAATCAACAAATATGCTCGATTTCTTTTTTGTTTATTTTCCTTTTAGGGTACAGGAGAATAAAATCCTCTTTGACTAAGGAAGGCAAGGCTATCTTTCTGAAGAACGGTTCATGAGTAGAGTTCTCTCTGGCTTCATCCGGCCTGATTACACAGCAACACTCCCACCTCGGCCTGCCCAGTGCAAGAGCACACTGGATCCTGAGAGTGCAAGGGTTCACCACCACCCTCCCTTCTCACAGGTGTTTCAAAGAAATACAATATCGCTTCACTTTTATTTAGGAGTTGACCTAAGCAAATTGCTATGGTAGTTCATTGTACCCTCTCTAAAGTATATAGAGAGCATTAGCCAGAATAAAAAATCATAGCCATTCTTTTTGAATCTAAACAACCTCTTACAAAAGCATGCTTCGGGGAAGTATGTGGACGTAGGGAAATGTTTCAAATTCAAGTGCAGTCTCTGTGTTATCATCATGTACATGTGAGAGTTGAGGAAACACGGAAAGAGAATATGGAAAGGAAGGGAAAGAAGGACAAGGAAAATAGGAATGTTGTCCGGGTTGGTAGAACAGGCCTATGATACAATTTTGAGACTGAAGCAGCAGGAGCTTGAGTTGGAAGTCAACCTGGGCTACACAGGGAGATCTTGTGAAAAAACAAACAAAGAAAAAAAAACCAAAGCAACAATAACAACAAAACTAGCAAAGGCCATATTAATAGCAAAAAAAAAAATGGTATAAAAAAAAGAAAAACATAAAAATGTTACCTCAACACATTATGTAGATTATGACTTCATCTGCGTGCTATTCCATTGTAAAAGGAAAGTGGCGGGCTGCGTTCCCGCCCGGATCCTGGCTAGCTTACCCCTAAAATAATTACATGGAAACTGTATTCATTTAAACACTGCCTGGCCCATTATCTGTAGCATCTTATTGGCTAACTCTCTCATATTGATTCAACCCATTTCTAATAATCTGTATCTCACCACGGGGTCGTGGCTTATCAGGAAATATTCAGCATTTCTGACCTGGCAGCTTCATGGTGGGCAGCTCTCTGACTCTGCTTTCTTCCTCCCAGAATTCAGTTCTGTCTTCCCCGCCTATCTATGTTCTGACCTATCAGGCCAAGCAGTTTTCTTTATTAACCAATGAAAGTAACACATAGACAGTTGATCCTCCTCCATCATTACATTGTCTCATTAGTCTTTCCTCTTTTAAAAATTGCAAGAGAAGTCACAACTTTTGTGATTTTCCATCGAGTTCATTCCCCACCAAAGTGAGGTGTTGTTCCCTGAGATTAAACAATCTAGAACTCTGCTGACAGTATTTCACCTGCAGCATTTACTCCATTTCTCTGTGAATGTTATGACCTTAACGTGTTATATTGGCAAAGGAGCACATTGGCCCACCTAGGCAAGACTTCTGGTCACGAGGATACAATCTCTGGCTTGGTGGAGACCTAACACGCCATCTGGGCAGGGTCAGTGAGCTGGCTGCGGAGCTACCCCTAGGACAAGGATGGGGTGGGGTGGAGGGGGATGGCCTTAAGCATTTTAGCCTCCCTGAACTCCCACTCCCCAGAGCAGTCTCATACAGGGCTGCAACCACACAGTGTGCAGTCACTACGGATGGACACTTTGCACAAAGTGCTGCTTAACAAAGGATGCTCACCTGAAACTTCAAGTTTGCTTCTGTCTTCTTGATATCCCTCCATCCTCAGTATAGGGCAGGTACTTTCTATTTAAAAGACAAGCATGAATTATTTGAACTAAAATTTCCGTCCTACTTTTTCCAAATAAAGTTCAATGCTACTGTATAATCAAAAACATGATAACAATGAAAATAAAAATAAACTGAACTACCTTATTAAATTTCTATAAGGTGGGGATGAAGATCCCCATCCTACAGTATGTCTATGAAAATTTAATGTTATATCTATAAAAAATAGAATATTGCCAGCCCATAGTGAGAATATAGTGATACTGGCTAGTATATATATATATATATATATATATATATATATATATATATATAATATTATATATATAGTGTGTGTGTATGTATGTATGTATGTATATATTTGACCATAGGATTCAGTTAACTTTCATGGCTTCATCGAACAATTAAATTCAACGCATATTCTCTCAAATAGACAAGTGAATTATTGCTGTATTTTATCATAATTTTATTCATGTTTTTATCTGGTGATCCTTTATAACAGAAGGGGACATGAATGGAACAAGTTAAATAAAATTAGAAAGCAAAGATATTTCTATATGACAAAGTTGAGGAAGTTAATACTTTATAAGTTTGTTCATAGTACTCATGGATATATATAAAGTTAATCTCTACTCAGCGAGTTTAAATGTCCAATAAAACCACATCATAATGTATATGCATATATTGGTCTTTGAAGTGATGTGTTTAAATCTAACTCAGACTATAACCACAAATGAAGTAATGTTGCCAAAGCTGCAAGCCATTTTTCAAGTCATGCCACTACACAACAATACAGCTACACTCTTAAATTAAGTATTTCAAACCTTTTACATTGTATAGTCACAGGTTTAATTCTCCACATCAAAAATTTGTGTTTGAGTTTCATGTCTTAAAGTTTATAGTGTAGAAAGGAAATAAACTGCTGATGGCAAACTGACCACTACTGGACTGAAAGTGACAGCCTCTGATTTTCCAGCTAATGTCTGAGTGCCTCAGCCCTTCGTTTGACAAATGTACCTCATAGCTAGAGCTGTGGTCAGGAGTCAGTGTAGCATATTTAACTAGAAGAGCCTCAAAGTCTAAGTAATGCTATCACATCGTTGGCAAGTAAGAAGCAAATAACATATTCTTTCTGAATGACAGTTAGAATCCCAATTTCTATAGATCAGGGTGTGTGTGTGTGTGTGTGTGTGTGTGTGTGTGTGTGTGTGTGTTTGAAAACTGACAAGTTTATTGTCTAGTTTAAATGGAAAAGCAAAGATAGAGAAGGGCAAAGCTGAACAATAACTTTGAGACAAACCATGAGATATAAGAAATCCTTTTAACATGACTTTGGTGAACATATAGAAAGCCATCAATCAAACAGAATAGGAGGTCTAAATCCAGATCCTTCACGTGTAGCTCCATTTACTGCAAAAACTACTGCAATTCAGTTGGAAATGGAGGGTCTTTTAGTCAGTGGGGTCTGGCATTAGATATTGATACAGGAAATCACTGAATCTTGGTTTTTTTATACCACATGCAGAAATTGGAGAAAATTATAAATGTGAAATGAAAAGCTAAAGCAGGTTTGGTAGAGCATAGAGCTTGGTGAACCTGGAGAAGCAAAGAGCTCTGGAGAGAGACAAAGTATTGCTGTCAAAAGAAACTATTGATAAATGGGGCTTCTTCAGCTGAAAGCATATATTAATCAAAAGATCGGAAGTGTGAAAAGACAAGCCAGAGAATAGGAGCAGGTATTTACAATAGAAGCATCTTAAAGAGAGAAGGCAAACCACACACAAGGAGAAAATATCCAATGAAGTACTGAATCCAGAGCAAGCCCTGAGCTTTCATAAATGAGCAAAACATGAAAACGTTTATTTCTAATACACTCTAAACTTTTTAAGCACTTTGCAAAATGGAATGTTCAAATTACCAACTCATATATTCCAAGGGGTGTCACCCCATCAGTAATCAGAAATGTAGAGGAAACTACCGAGAGTCCATTAAATGACCAAAATTAAAGAACTGTCACTCCAAGTGTTGATGAGGCTGTGACAAACGGCGAACACTTTCGACTCGTCTACATTGCATGTGGGGGCCGAGAGCAGTGCAATCGCTTGGGAAAACCCTCTGACAGTGTTTACTGGAGCTAGTGATGCATGAACTCCAAGAGAAACTCAGTGACCCAAGAGACAGGAGAGCAAAACAGGAATGGAAATGACCTTTTTAGATAAGAATGCCTATGTTATCATTACTCGTAGAGTTACAACCTAAAGTTCATCAAGAGGACATACTGCAAAATAAACAATGAAAAAACTGGATAACAGTTCAAAAAGAAAGATTTGACTTGATACATTGAAATGTTTGGCTATTAGAGGCAAAGTAAGTGGGTGAATGTCATTCCCCTAAATATATACTACCTATTCCATTTATGTGATAATAACACAGCCAATCTCTGTGAGAGAAGTGATTACCGTAGAGGGAGTACCACCTCAAAGCAAGTACACAGAAATGTTTTAGAATCCAGGAAACATTTTATGATTTTATTTGAGTGATAATTACATTAGTGTACATATAAACGTAAAAATCAGTATATGGTGCTTTTAACATTTACTGACTTTATATAAGAAAATCTCAACACAAAGTAGGAAAGCAACAACTCCCTTGAGAAAATATTTTAATCTAAAAGTAGCTCTAAAATTTAAGTGATTAAAATATCCCAATAAAATGTCTACTGGCTGTGAATGTCTATATGGCAATATGCCCTAAGAGGAACCTTTCATTCTTCATAACATAGGCACATAGAGGAAAGAAGGAATCTCTGGGCAGCAGAAGGGCTTCCCTGCTAGGAGACTTGAGAAGGGAGGGGGAAGTATGTGGCCTGTTTCCAGTAGCAAACTGTAAATCTCATTACAATTCTTCCTAGGGAATATATGTTGATGTCAACAGAACAAACACACTGCTTTGAAAGAAAGGGGATTCAATATTTCCAGCAATATGCATGTATTTCCCCACTAAAGGTATTTCATTTATAAAACATTAATGCTGTTTCTTGCCTTTAAAACACAAGCTTTGTTGTAAACAACTGAACAAAACAAATTAAAACTAAGTGTTTTAAGATAATAAGATAGATTCATGAAGATAGATGAATTCATTGCATAAAAATGAAGAAAGAAATAGTGTCACTGCCTGTCATAAGCTAGAAATGCTAATTAATTTAAATAGTGACATATACATTGTAATATAAAACAGTAGAAGTGACACTATCACAAGTTGGGCACGTTAATTTATTCGAATATAAGCATATAAACATACGGGTGTATTTTAATATTAATGTATCTTTAGACTTATGCCTAAGATTCAAATGTTGTCTTGAGCAGACAGGACCAAACAGAGCAACTCTGTCCCTCAGAGGCTCTCTGGAGTGTTTCAGAGTAATGAATACCATCTTTCTATGGATGGTGCATTGCTTGCCGAACTCAACAGCTTTTCAAAAACAAATAAAAGTAGCTTTAACAAATGCCTGCTAAAGTGTTAATGTTAATGATTGGCAGGCTTTATTTCCTCTTTTATGTGACTTGAAAGACCTGGGTAGTCTCCATGATAGGTGGGGTACTGAAAGGAGCCACAGGAAACAAAAGGGAAGTCATCTAGTTCAGCTTTGCATATGCCACGACTTGATCTAATAACATCCTTAAACACTCTTGATTCCTGGTCATCTGAAAGTGAATCACTCTAGAAAAATAGGTCATGCAGCTACTCAATGAAAGAGTAGAGAAAGACACATTTCCTGCAAATCAACTTTCTTTCCTTCTGTATTGAGCATCTATCTCCCAAATGTATATTTTAAACAAAATAGTGACATACCTAAGAAACTCTTTCCATTCTTTTTTAACATATATATATGATTTTTTTTCAAGACAGGACTTCTCTGTAGCTTTGAAACTTGTCCTAGAATTTGCTCTGTAGAGAAGGCTGGTCTCGAACTCACATAGATCCACCTGTCCCTGCCTCCAGACTGCTGGGGTTAAAAGTATGTGCCACTACCACCCAGCTTGGACTGGAGAGATGGCTTAGCCGTTAAAGGCTAAACTCACAACCAAAAATGTAAGACTCTTCATTCTTTAATGAAATGTATTTGCTCCCACCATCTGTTTTAACTATGTACTTAAGAAATGAATCCCTTTTCACACATACACACTAATAGATCTAATCTATTAGTTCTGGTTTCCATTTTACTAGTAGGCATGGCCTACTAGATCTTGGTACTAGTTTATTTCTTTTTTTCTGAAAGACATTTTAAAATATATGTGTGTGTTTGAGTGGTTTGCCTGTGTGTATGTTTGTGTACCACATGAATGCAGTACTCTCAGAAGCCAGGAGAGGGCTCTGAATGTCATGGTACTAGAGTCATAGGCTGCTGTTAGCCTGTCATGAAGGTAGTACCTTCAGACCCAGATCATCTGCAAGATCAGTCAATACTCTCTTAATCACTGACCCATCTCTCCAGCCTCATAAAGTATGTTTCTAATAGTGCACAGAAACATTAAAACTATGTATAGAAATATGGTTATAAGCAAGGATTTTTGGACAAGATTCCTAAAACATATAAAATAAAAATAAACAGCACATTGGGTCAAAAGAAAGTTTGCACATCTTAAATACATGCTCGCTCCTACCATACAGAGTTTTCTACTCTGAATGATGTGAATTTTTATTTTATTATGGTATTCACTAAAATACCTGACAACATGTTGAAATCTCCTTTTGCCCTTTTTGGCTTTTATTTTTGTCGGTGTCCCCTTGTTTCTCATATCTAAGACCAGCTAAAATCTATTGTTTCAAGTTTGTCTTTTCAATTGATTAATACCTAGGCAGTTTGTGTTTGTTTACTGATGGTCATACCAAATATGAACTAGGAACCTTTATGAGTCTAGCTTAGGAAAAGCAAATGGTGAATTCATTCCTGTATATAGTAAGGCAAAGGGGAAAACTCAGTTTTCAGAGTCATGAAAAATTAAGGCCAGCGTGTT